AACCAGGTCTGCTGAATCCCAGTCCTGCACTGTAACCACTATGCTGCACTGCCTTCTATGGATGTTTTGTTTCATGGAAAAGCAGCCCCGTGCAATTGTTAGCAACCCTATAAAGGAGCTGTGGTATATTCCAAAGATCTGATGCTTGGCAAATACATCTGTGCACAAGCAAAGGAAATGTTGCCTTAAACATCCTGCCGCAAACGTGACCCAGTATTTCCTTTCTGCTTTCCCTGCTGACTGGTGCATTTCCTCCTTGTTGCCTGGATATGGTTGAACTGGATTGGTTGGGTTTTATCTGCAGGGCACAGCTCACACCCCAAACTACCTTTTCACTAGCCCCGCCTGGTTGCAAAGCCAGGGGTGGGGAGCTTGGGGGAGGCATGTTATCACCCGGAGATCCATTTTTGATTTATAAACAAGTGCCATCAACATTGTGCAAAGGGCTTCTGGGATATATCAGGGATACTTTATTCGATGTATACTAACAGGAACATCCTTCTTTGAGTAGCCAAAACAGGAAGGCAACATGAGAAGGCTCAGGGAAATTGCAAATTTTGCATTCGTGCAGAGGACAGACTGCCAGGCTTAGCCTTGCGGACCAGCACAGAAGCCTCTGAAATATTTTCTTGCTCTTGTTATGTGCCATCAAGTCCTCTCTGACTTATGGGAACCCTCTAAAATTTTCTGTCCTTGACAGTCCTGCTCAGCTCTTATACATTTCAGTCTGTGGCTTCCTTTATGGAGTCCGTGCATCTCATATTTGGTTTTCTCCTCCTCCTCTTGACTTTCCCGAGTATGATTGTCTTCACCTTAGAGTATAGCATCTAATGAAGAACCCAGAGTATAACCGTCTCAGTTTTCTTATTTTTGCTTGCAGGACAAGTTCTGGCTTGATTCGATCCAGGATCCACTTGCTCATCTTTCTGTCAGTCCAGGGTGTTTGCGAAGATCTCCTTCAGCACCATGTTTTGAATGCATTTTCTTCCCGTCAAATTTTTCACTGCCCAGTTTTCACACCCATACATAACGATCAGGAAAGCAATCACCTGGAGGATCTAGACCTTGATTTCCAGTGAAATCTTCATACACTTGATGATCTTTTTTAGTCCCTTCATTGCTGCCTTTCCAAGTCTCAGACTTCAAACTTTCTGCAGGAGTCCCCCTCGGAACAGATGACTGAGCCAAACTATGCAAAAATCTCTCACAACTTCAATTTCTTCATTGTTGACATTCAGTCACATGATCCCTCTGCCGTCACGATTTTTCTGTTCTTCATGTTCAACTGCAGTCCTGCCTTTGCACTCGGCTAACAAAATGCTTCCACCTGCTCCGTTTCCCCTTTTCCTAATGTTAGGCTTCATTTAAGTTTCCATTGTTCTGCTTGTGCTAAAAATGTGACTTTTACAGCCTGGTCCAAGCCCTGCTTACTCAAGTCAGCCCCGTTTTATGCGACGGGGCTGTGTTCTAGAGAGACCGTACATTGTGTGACCTGCCTTGCTTTCTGCAAATCGTGTCACATGAGACTAAAAATTGCTTGAAGTTTAGGAGGGTGCCTTGCACACAGCTAGGCCTTGGGAGCAGTTTAGTCTGCAACTCTCTATTCCAGGGGTCCGGTGAAGAGGACGGTCACACTGGGTTCTCCTCTGAGCATTTGGGCAATTGTGACTCTAAGAAATTTCAGCTCTCTCTTATGCAGATATAAATGAGTTGGATCTTCAGTGTCAAGAAACTGCAGCCGTTCTATCCTGTTCCCCATTTGATCAAAGTAAACCTCCAGAATGTAAATACATAAGAGGCGTTGGGCCCCGTTGGATCAAGGGCCCGCAAGCAGCTATTCGTTGGAAACCCGCAAGCCAGACAAGAGTGTCACACCACCCTCCTGCCCATGCTCCCCAGCAACTGGACTGCACAGACACATTGCCTCTGATTGCAGAGGTGGCATACGGCTATCAGGACAAGGAATCATCAGTGGCCTTCTTCTTCATGAATGTGCCCATTCTCCTTTCAAAGCCATGCAAACTGGTGGCCGTCACTCTCTTCTGAGGGAAGGAATTCCATAGTTTAACTCTGTCCTGTGCAAAGAAGTGCTTTTTCTCAGCCCTGAATCTCTCACTGCTCACTTTCATGGGATACTCATGTAGTTGGGAGAGGGAGCATTGCAAGAGACAGAGAAAAATGTCTCCGTGTCTCCACTTGGAGTTGGATAGCTTAGAGCTTGGGAGCCGCATGTACACGGACTGTTTCCAAATGCAAGAGAGCATCGCTGCTCACTTATTTCCATGCGTTGCCTTCAGCATGACTCTGCGGATGATTCTGTCAAGGTCCCAATTTTAAAAAGTCTGTGTCTGCACACAGTGAATGTCAGTCATGCACAGAGACTGGGGAGGGAAGCTGATTCTCCCCTCGTGAAGCGCTGTCCCGGGCTTACCTTCTGCAGTGATGGGGCTCTTTGAAGGAGCTCTCCTGGTGGATCACCGAAAAGGTTGTAAGTTTCTTGTTTACTTCAATGCAAATTAGGGGGAAAGAGGTGGCTCCATTTTAAAGGTTATTGATTTTCACCTTGTTCCTTTTAACTGGTTGTATCATTCAGTTGCATAAAACCTGGTATTGCTCTGTAACTCAATGAACAATTTTGTTTATACCATGGAGGTGAAAGACGGTGGCTCCCAGGCCAGACCTCCCTGCATCTGCTTCGGTCATTTCCAGGAGCTCCTCTTTCTGGTGCCACCGTATGCTCACTAGGGTGGAGTCCATGGAGCCGTCTGAATCTTCCAGGAGTGCATCCTGACCTGGAAAGGAGGTCTCACCATGGACAGCTCCTTGAAAGCTCAGACTGAGCCCTTGAGTGGCTGCACCGCCCTGGTGACCTTGGAACGGCCAACCACTGTGGCTTGGCTTGACTCGAAGTGCCTGCCCAAGATCTCAAGCAGGGGTCTTTTCCACCCCTGTTCCCTGACCCTCCCAACCAGAGAGTCCGGGAACTGAGCCTGGCTCCTGAGCTAAGCAGTCCCGCCCCAGGACAGGAAGGTTTGGTCGTATGAAGGCAAGGTGGGGGGCAGATGTCATAGATGCTGGCTTGCCACTACTGGGGTCAGCAGCAAGCTAGAGCCCCCAGGTGGAAAGAAGGCTCATTGAAATGCATGATTTCCAAGGGGGAAGCTGTTCCAGGTCCACCCCTGCAAAAGCAACCAGGAAAGTCGAGGCATTTTAAAGGCTAGCAAACCGCACGATGGCCCAAAACAGCCTTATCTCCCCCAGATGTGTTGGGTATCATTCCAGATGTCATACTCATGCTGGCTGGGAATGATGGGGGTGGAAGTGCAACACAACTAGAGAGCAGCTGCAATGATACAGTGGTAAATGTTGAAGTGTGGGCACTACAGTTCTCACAACCGTGTCCCCAGCGAGGGTCCAAAAGCACACACCAGCTGTGCTGTTCCCTATCACCAATGAGGCTTAGCAGATTCCTCCCCCAGGAACAGGATCAGTCGCTCGATAAAGCTTAAATCAAGAGCAAACCATCCCCAAATAAAATGAGGAGTGATCGGTCACTCCAGGGAGAATTTGGGCCTCCACCCATCTCCCCCAGCTCCTGTGAGGTCTACAGCTAAGCTCAGAGGAGATGGCAAAGCCTGAGATGAGCCATCCAGCTGCAGGAAGCTTCTGCACCCCTGCTAATTGAAAATCATATTCTGTTGGGTCCCTGACCAGGCTAGGATAAGCTTTCCAGGACCGCAGCAAGCCAAATTCACTTGCACATGCTTGAGATCCCGCTAACTGTCTTCTGTGGTTTGTAAGCCCTTCTTCAAGATTTCTGACACCAAACAGGAGAGGGAAACACGCATGGGCAAACTGGAAATAAACCTGAATGTTGCAGCTTTGGGCGCCTGCTCCAGTCCCTTTGCCATTTTGCTTCCCCTTTCTGCATTATTTCCACTTCTGCATTATCATCATCATCATCATCATCATCATCATCATCATCATCATCATTTTCATTTCAAGCAGGTACAGTGGAGCTTTTTCAGCCCAGGGGCCAAATTCCTTTTCAGAAAAGTTCTTCGGAGCTGCATTCATGAGCAGCATAAAGCTCCTACTGTCAGAAGCTAAACCTTAGGTGTTTTAACCTTTCAGAACAGAATAAAAGCCTGCACAAGAGTCTGAAAATCACCAAACAATTTGATAATGGGGAGGAGGCAGCTTGGGGCCCTGGGGGCCTGGGTTTGGCACCTGGGCTGGGACTGACACTTATTTAAAACCCTGAAAAACTGATTGGAGATAGCCTGAGCTCATGCCCTGCTGGGAGTTTCTTTTCTTTTGTTTGCTACTGCAGAAATGTTTAAGTCTCTTGACTCAGGGGAAAGCTTGGCTTGAATGTATGAGATTTATTTCCACCAAGCATACAGCTGAGATGGGGGTTTAACATTGCTTCCTTCTGGGATTTGTACTTTTGGCTAGCAAAATCCTCCTTAAGGATTTCTGCCCTCTGGCACAAAACGGAAGAGGGACCGGTGCACAGACTGAAGCATGTGAACAAAACGGACGCCAGTTCTTGTGTGTGTGTGTGTGTGGGGGGGGCGGGATTGCCAGAGGTAGGAAATCAGTTACAAAGATCTCAAATACTGGCCTGCCATCCACTGCTGCACACCGCCTTGCTGGATTGAGGCTAATCACCTTGCACCACCAAGCAACGGTTCGGGCTTTGGAAGTCAAACAAATACTCAGGATCCAGAATGGAAACCAATCGAAACTCCGTTTTAAATGGTCAGAGTACAGGCACAAAAAAGGACGCAGAAAGACAGCTGTTCCTCTCCAGCCGGATCAGTTCTCCTCGGAGGAACTGGGATGCCTGAATTAAATGCGTTTGTTTTTAAGGTACACTAACCCCCACCCCGCATTTGGCAGAGCCGAGAAGTTGGAGCAGGCAGCCTTGCAAATGCCAAGTCTCAAAGCAGCAGGGAAGCTTATAAAGGAAACAAATTCAGGCTTAAACAATTGGCGAGCTTTTTGCTACCAGAGCAAACAGTTTACTTAAATCTCATTATTAAAAATACGTGCAGTTATAATATATAAATATTCAGAAATATAAAATATACAAAGATCCTTGATTTGAACACTGCTGAGAACTAGAGGATAAAGTGATGGTATAAGATTGCGGAAAACCCAGTACCGGCTTGGCCCCCTGCACTGACCACATTGACATGAAAAAGGCCCATGAAAAAACAACATCGTACATAGTGAACGCCTAAGCAGAAGTTTGATTTGGAATGAAAACTTTGACCCATGGATTGCTCAACCAATTCTCAGAATGGGGATAGGATTTTATTCAGAGGTGAAAGCAATACTGAAACAGTTACTAAAAAAAAGGAAGGTCATCGTTTTTATCCCACAGCTTAATATTAATAGTTACATCATACACTTAACAAAATCAAAGAAAATACTTTTTAGGCAAATTTCTAGAAAGAGAACCTTACCCAGCAGTTTGACCACATGATCCACAAGACCACTTATTATAGTCCTGGCATAGTCCCACTGATTTCAAGAGCCGGTCCAGTGGAAAACAACCCGGAATCACAGTACACACTCCAGTTTATTCCCATGCATGGGATTTGCAAAGGGCCGTAAAACAAATTTGCTTAAAAATATCCAGTCCTCATTTCTCCCCAGTGCATGGTTTGAAAAACAACCTTTTAACATCCTAAATTAATTGCTACTTTTTAATGACTGACAAATTCCTTTGATTGGAACATTTCAGGTGGGGGCAGAACCCAAACAACCCACCCTGGTGTCTTATTCTAATAGTAGTGGGTTCTCTGTATCCAGCATTACACAGAGCAGACCCACTGAAATCAATGGAATTTAGCTTAGATCTTCAGAATTCAGATGGCCATTTTTTTTCAAAGATAACCTGACCATATATCGCCATATAAGTTTTGTTTCGAGATTAAGAATGTAAACTCTCAATTTATCTTTTTTATAAAAATATAAACAACAACACAGATCTATATGTATCCCCCAGGTTTCCAGTTAAGAAGCAATGCAACAGTTTCATGAACAATAGAACCATGTGGAATTTAAAAATTAATCTTAATTAAGGGTCTGTTACCATCTGCTTTAATTAAGAGAGCAAACTCCCATTTTATGTAAAATTTTTAAAAAGTAGAGGTGTGAGTTTCTGTAACCTACCCATGCTTCCAATTAAGAAGCAAACGTGGACGAGGACAATGAATCATTACCCTCAATATAAAGTCCACTGTCACCTGTTTTCTTTCTTAATACAGAGTGCAAACTCTCACATTATAATTTTTAAAAAACAGACGTGCAATCCCGTCATGCTTCCTTTAAGAAGCAACGCAGCTAATTATTTCATGAGGACTAATACTAGGCAGAATCCTAACGACAGTAACGAAGAATCCTAAACATGCTACGGAGAGTTCTTGCAAGTGTCTTTTTTTCTTTGCAAAACAGAACGTCTTAAATACAAAAAGCAGTTCGCAGGGAAGGGGAAGAGCCAGCCGCCGGTCCGAGCAGCCCTCCTCCCGCAGCGGCTGGAGCGCCAGCAGCCCCTCGGTCCCCGAAGCCGCGGCTGCAGCGCCGCCAGGTCTCTGCGCTCCGAGGTCGCCGCCGCCGCCAGGTCGCCGCCGCTGCGAGGTCGGCGCCGTCCAGCGCCGCCTCGGCAGCCTCAGACGTAGTTCTTCTTGTCGTACTCGCCGTTGGAGGCGGCGGTGGGCCGCCGGGGCGCCGCGTACTTGACGGGGAAGGCGGAGAGCTCGTCCTTGCGGGCGCTCGAGGCGCAGATGAGCGCGCCGCCCAGCAGCAGGAGGGCGGCGGCGGCCCAGCCGAGGTACAGCGCCGCGCCCATCTCGCGCTTGTGCGACTGCTGCACGCTGGGGTCGTAGAAGTTGCTGATGATGATGTTGGCGAACCAGCAGGGCGGGACGAGCACCAGCAGGCCGCAGACCACGAAGAGCGCGCCGCCGACGGCCGCGATCCAGTCCTTGATGCGCCCGCCGCGCAGGCAGGTGGTGCACTGCGCGCCCACCACGGTCACCAGCAGCGCCACCAGCCCCAGCAGCGCGCCGATCACCATCAGCGTCCGGCCGGCCTGCAGCTCGGGGCTGAGCGACAGGATGGAGTCGTAGACCTTGCACTGCATCTGGCCCGTGCTCTGCACCACGCACGCCATCCACAGGCCCTCCCAGGTGGTCTGCGCCACCACGATGTTGGCGTCGATGAAGGCCGCCACCCGCCACATGGGCAGCGCGGCCACCAGGATCGTGCCGGCCCAGCCCAGCACGGACAGCGCCAGGCCCAGCAGCTGCACCGCCGCCGCAGCCATCCCGTCTCCCGGACGCGGCACGGACGCCTCCTCCTCCTCCTCCGGCGCCTTCCCTCGAAAGCAAGCGCGCAGCTCGGCCCGGACGGACGGCCGATGGGAGCCCTTCGCCGCTGCGCCCTGCGCGCCCTCTCCTCTCCTCTCCTCTCCTCTCCTCGCCTCTCCTCTGCTCTGCTCGCCTCTGCTCTCCGCGCCACCGACTCTGGCCGCCGCGTCTCTGCGCAGGTGTCCGACGGGGCTTTCTTTATATAAGCCCGCGGCGAGCGCCGGGCAAGGCGAGGACGCGCCGTCCAGCAGGCGGGAGGGGGCCCTTCCCCTCGTCGCTCCCGCCCCCGCCTCGGGGCAGCCGACCGGGGAGGAGGGACGTCTCCTTGCGGCCAATGGGGCGGCGGCGAGGCAGCGGTTGAAAAAAAGGAGAGCGAGCCCGCGGCTCCGGAGAAGCGTGCGGTGAGTCACCGTTAGACGGGCTGGAGGCGCGCCAGCTCCTTCTCGGGGGAAGAGGGGCCTCTCCCCCGGCGGCCGGGGAGGGGCTGCGGCTGGATGCGCGAGGCCCGGGGGTGCGCTGGGCGGGGCGGTGGGGGCGAGCAAGGCCGGGCGCCCGGCGGGTCCAGCGCGCAAGGAGACAGGCAGCGCCCCTGCCCCCCGCGCGCCCTTCCCAGATTTGATGCGCCGGCGGGAGGGGAAGGATCCTTGCACCATCGTGTGCAACGTCTGTCCGGCGCTGAGATGGCCAGAAACTTCCCTTTGCCGGACCGGTCTGGGCCGGTGGACACAGCAGAGCACCCGCTGACCCTTGGCATGCCCAGACCAAGGAATGTCTTGCGCTCTGTGCATCCCCAGTGAGCACGGTTCCCTTGCACGACTGCACTTCGAAAAATCAGCCCAGTTTATATTTGGCGGGCCCTGCCCATGTCTAAAAGGACCGTTCCGTTCGCAGTTAACACACCGTACACCCAGAGACGTTGTTTCTGGTCCTCAAAAGCTCGTGCCAGAATGTATGTATGTATGGGAGTTGCTTCTGTATCACCCAATAGCAGAAGCTCCCCAGTGGGTTCCCAAAAGTATAACATCGAACGGCTTACAAAAAATATGGTGGGGGGAGATTAAAACCACTTTCATATTTAACAAATACCAAAATGAGGAGGTGGTGGCAGCGGCTGAAGTAGAAAGGTGCTAATGCTTATTTTAGGACACAGAGCTGCAGAAGATTGGACAGGAAAACCCCTGCTTTTTCTGGCTAAATGGGAAACTGTTCCTTAATTGGATGTTTTGACAACAGCCAGTAGTTGGGTGAGAATTATACGATGGATAAACTTTATATTGGAAAGTTTTCCCCATGTGAATGTGCTTTGCAATCATCCCCATTTCTTAGATGTTAAAGCATGATCCATGCAAATGGATCTTCTGCTTCTTTCTGACTGCTAAAAGACAGATCCTACAGCCCTGGAAAGATAGGTTCTTGCCTCCTAGAACACCGTGCATCAAAGACCTCACGATGCTTTCAGTATTTGAGAAGATAACATGCAGATGCTACTCTTGAAAGGACATGTATACCTTGGCTAATCATTGTTTAGATTCTGTATAATGGATACACCTGCATATAGACCTGTACATATAAGCAAATATATATGGGGCTGACTTCCAGGTGAGTGGGTATAGAATTACAGCCTTAAGCCCCTGAAGGTCTCTGATGGGGACCCGGCTGACTAATGGGGCACTCGTGTACATGGCCACACACAAGTTCACCTCACTGGCTTTTCTGGAATGTCAAGACTGCTGGCTCCTTCTCTCTGGAAAGAGGCCCTTTCCAATAACAACCTGAGTTTCCCCATCCCTGCCTTAGAGCAATGGACGATGCCGTCTTAGCTCTTCTCCTCCTAAAACGGTTTGTTCACCCATGGATACCCAAAGGTCCAGAAGATGCCTCTCCCAGCCGTTTTCATCACCTCCCTTTCTCTCCACAAGTGTCTTTTAAGAACCCTTTTATGCTGGGGGAAATAGGGAGGTTTTCCTTCACAAGTATGTCTCCCCGCTCGTAAATTCATGGTGTGCTAGTGTGATGCTCTGTGTGATGGCCCTGGACTGTAGCAGTGAATACAATACAGAGGCTTCCACCACTTTTGAAAAATGGGTCACGTTCCAAGGGACAAAGACCATAGATGGGAACAGAGGTTTGAGATGCAGTTAGATCTGGGCTTGCTTTTCCTCAGAGAGCTGTGCCATGGAGGGGGCCTTGCTGAATGGAGGCAGATGTGCTTTTCTTGCAAAACATCCATCCGGGTAGGGTTGGGAAAGACTTGGGAAATCCCAAGGCAGATTTCTGCAACCTGAGGCCCTTCCCCAAAGGTTGTAGGAATATTGGAAGCTGCCTTAAATCATTTACAGCAGTAGAGATTGGTGGTGTCAAGGACATGTCTGTCCCCTTTTCTAGCAGATCAAGGAGAGATTACTCTAGTTATAGTCCTTTATTCGGTTAAGCTGGCTTTGCAATACAGTGTGAGTAATATAAAAGTTATTTGCAAGTAGCACTTTACTGAAGTAAGCTCTTGCCCATTTCAAAAGCTGATTCCAAACTGAATCACCTTCCTCCCCAAAAGGGGCAGGCTCCACCCTCAGGAAGGTTCATGCTGCTTGTGGACCAAATGGTGGAAACACCAGATGCTACTTAATTGGTCCACTTGTTTCACTTGATGATGAACCATGGGGTTGATGAACTCATCCTCCTCCCCCTTTGATCCTCCTTGTTCAACTGTGTCTCCTGAATGAAAGGCAGTCCAGTTCTCACCAGTCGCTTGGATAACCTTGGTTCCTTCCCCATTTGACCTTCAGCCAGCCCCCCTTTGATCCCTGTGGCTACCAATACATCCTCCACCCTACTCTATGCAACCTAATCCTGCCTTTTTAACATTATCAGAGGTAGTGCTTCCCCAGTTAAAGCAACAAAACATCCCTCTTCTCTTTGTCAGAACAACTTGCGTTTTCACACTGCACTGGAAGAATGATATGGTCAGACTTTCGCAGAGCCTCAAGGCAGAGAGGCCCACATCCGGTCACCGTCGGAGGCTTCCTGCATTGAGAAGGTGGAATTGTGTCAGTTTGTTTGCACCCAGTTGGGAGAACAATGAAACAAATGCTCTTCCACTCCCTTTTTTTAGGATTAAGAGGAAATTTGCTTTATCCTGAAAGGGGCAATAAGCCACCACCTGCCTTTCCTGGTGAGAATTGGAGAGGAGAAATGGCACCCGCCCGCTCTCATGAGCACCTACTTAGCGGCTGTGGCAGCTGAAGACCAGTTGTTGTGACGCTATGGTTAAGCTGCTTCGGCTTTCTTGTAAGAGGAAAACAACGGAGATATAAATGCCATGTAATAATTATAATTAATAATAACAACGAGGGGCTCCTCCTTTGTGAGGGTAGATTATGAGCATTAGCACTGCTATGGATGGGTGGGACTTGGTGGAATTTCCAGAGACACAGAAACAGAGAGAGTTAGAAGAGGTCTATTGGGCCATCTAGTCTGACCCCTGGCTCCGGCCAGCTGCACTCGTGACATGCCTACCATGTGCATGTCCACCCATGACATGAAGTGCACTAACTGACTTGGGGCTGGTCACTGAGTCTTGGCTTAGTGTCCCTCACAGGGCTGTTGTGCAGTTAAAAAGGGGAGGGGGAGACCACACAAAGCACCTTGGGTTTCCTGCAAGATAAAACAGTGGGATTTAAGTATAAGAATGAAGAAAAATGAATTGTCCTCAGCACCAACTTTGGATGATGCTACTTTCTCTGCAACGGGGACGTGTTCCCCTACCACCCCCTCGGCCTGTCTAAGACTCAAGAAATCAAGGGAAGCCGCAGCCTTTCCCTTGGGATCTGAGAATCAAGAGTTGCTGGAGCAGGCAAGGAGCCTTCAGTTGGGAATGGCTCCTTTCAGGAGGGGAGGAACCAGCTGCCCAGACTGCCAACGTCCTGGGGCTGCCCATGGCTGAAACTACACTTTGGACTGCCAGTACGGCTCTGCAATGGAATTATACACGGAACTATCCAAGGTGCTGCTACCTGGCACCTGGCTGTTGCCTTGGCTCCTGAGCTTTGCCTTGGACTTGCACTTCTCCTCGTTTGGCCTGGCCCTCCTTGAACCCCTACTCTTGCTTAGATAGAGCTCCCCATTCAGACAGGGATCCCATCCTTCGGAGTCTGTCCCCTGCTGGCAAGACGACTGGCTTGTTCTTCCTCTCCTCTCCCAGGCTGAGCACGAATTGTACATGGCAGAGCACCGTATCCCTGTCCCTGCTCCAGGCACAATTTGGGTGTGGGATGACGCTGCCTGTTATTATCTGGTTGTTTGCCACCAACACTTGTTCCAGCAAGATATGGTGATGGCCACCCATTTGGACGGCTTTAAATGGAGGGCTCAGGCTTGGTACGCAGGAGCTCTAGGTCAAAGCCCAGCATGCCCAAAACCTTGGAGAGTCTCTGCTCATCTGTGTTGACCAGCTTAGATGGCCCAGTTCAGCATAAGTCAGGTTCCAAAGGTGCTGGGTTCCTAGGATGCGATGTACTTTGGCCTGATCCAGCATGACTTTTCTTATGTCCTTACTTTGAATACCATAGGAAAAAAGAAACAGATGCATGCAAATGCCAGAATGCTCTAAGTAGGGAAATGGTGTAGAAAGATATGGTGGATTAGGCTGAGTGCCAAAGAATTGAGGCCTTTGAATTGTGGTGCTGGCGGAGACTCCTGCGAGTCCCTTGGACCACAAGGCGATCAAACCAGTCAGTGGTAGAGGAGATCAACCCTGACTGCTCTTTAGAAGGCCAGGTACTGAAGATGAAACTCAAATACTTTGGCCACGTAATGAGAAGGAAGGACTCCCTGGAGAAGAGCCTAATGCTGGGAACAATAGATGGCAAAAGAAGGAGGGGCCAGCAGAGGATGAGGTGGCTGGATGGAGTCACTGAAGCAGTTGGTGTGAGCTTGAGTGGACTCTGGGGGATGGTGGAGGACAGGAAGGCCTGGAGGAATGTTGTCCATAGGGTTGCGATGGGTGGGACACAACTTCGTGACTAACAACAACAACAAAACTAATTCCTGTAAGCAAAGCACAAGCTGGAATCATAACAGACTGGTGTAGGCTGTCTTAATCCCCATGGAGGAAAGATGGAATCGACAGGGACAAAATAAATAGTTGTAAAAAAGGGAAA